AGGTCAGTCCTCTGGTACCTCCCCCTGCTCTAGAAGCTTGGAGAAGTTTTTAAAAGCCAGTAGGAGGAGGTGAGGAGGGGCTGATCTGCATATTTATAGGAGTTCAGCCGATAAATATGACAGTGCCTGGCCAGCAGGAGAGTCAGGTGGAAGATGGCGTGCTGAGAGGTGCTGCTGTGTAGCATGGGAGGGGCCCTGGAGAAGGGTGGTCTTGCTTCCAGGCTGGAGGCTGGATACTGACTTTGGAAAACTGAAAGCGGGAGCTCCACTGTCCTGCAGTTCACAGGGGGAAAGAACAGCCTGCCATGCTTGGAGAGGAACTAGACCAAATACAGAGGACTGAAAGCAGTTATATCCATAGCTACAGGACAAGGACAGCGTGAGTACCTCTACACCTCCAGGGCCTAGAAGGAAGAAGTCTGCTGGATGCAAGTTCTGGCAAGTCGTCAGGGGACAGTTTATAGCTTACCCAATCCCTTGTCCTGGAATCAGATACCATAGCCAGGTGGGCTGTTATTTTGAACACTTAGGGGACTCATAGCTCCTGCAAGTTGCTGTAATTTGCTAAAGCGACTGATTAGATTCCGGCTGGACTACAGTCATTCATCTGACTTTGTTGTAACATTTTCTAGAGAAGGAAGTTGTCCTCAAATTGTTATTTCACAATTAAATGGGGCATCCCATAACCCCTATACCCTATGCAAGTTAAATTCCCTAACAAAACTAAAACACCAAGTTCATTTACTATTTCTTGTTTCTGGATGCAAGTGGAAAATGTGTGATGCCTGGCTTTGCAGGAAGTAAAGGGGGATTCAAAAACCAGCGGCTCTGGAGGGGGTAGCGCTACACATCTGCTTTGCATGTGGGAGGATGAAGAGGAGCTTTGTAAGCCATATAACTACTGTATCTCTTCCACGTGCTCTGGCTGTAGGAAACAGCCACTCTGTAAAATATAAGGCAAACGTGACCTGAAAATTAGGAAAAATTAGGATGTGGTTTTAGTGCCCTAAAAATGTAGTATTTTGGTGCACAAAAGTGTACCGCACAACTATATGGTGATTTTCTGCAAACAAGGGCAGCTTTGCAGGCTCAAAACACCTTAGCAAACTTATATTAGAATAAAATATACCCTATTCCCAAAATAAAACCTAAAACGCTAAACTTTAAAACACTAAGCTGAACTTGAGTTGTTGCTGATACACACAAAATGTTGGTTCATAAAAGAACTGCTGGGCCTGTACACTGTGAACACATGGAGGCTGCACCAATATGTAGTCCACTACATTGCAATTCATAATGCAATCGTGTGCAGCTCTGTGAAGTGCTGTATATCAGTGGATAGAACACTTTACAATACAACTATCTCTCCCTGCAAACACTGTTAGCATTCCCTATCTACTCCAAAACACACTGACAAAAGACTACTTTTTATAGTTTGGGGGGGGGTGCATATGAAAACCCTCACTGTTGATTCTTCTAGGTGACCTGATCACAGATTATGGCGGTGAATGGCCACTAGACATGTGCTCTCAGGAGCTCAGTGAATTCAAGCATGGTACCATGATAGGTTGCCACCTGTGCAATGAGTCCATCTGTAAAATTTCCTTTCTACTAAATATTCCACGGTCAACTGTTAGTGGTAATATAACATAGTGGAAGCAACTGGGAACAACAGCAACTCAGCCACGAAGTGGTAGGCCAAGTAAAATGAGCGGGGGTCAGCGCATGCTGAAGTGCACAGTGCGCAGAAGTTGGCAACTGTCTGCAGAGTCAATAGCTAAAGACTTCCAAACTGCATGTGGCCCTCAGATTAGCACAGCAGTGTTTAGAGAGCTTCATGGAATGGGTTTCCATGGCCGAGCAGCTGCATCCAAGCCTTACACTACCAAATGAAATGCAAAGTGTCGGGGGCAGTGGTGCAAAGCACGCCGCCTCTGAACTTTAGAGCAGTGGAGACGTATTCTCTGGAGTGATGAATCGTGCTTCTCTGTCTGGCAATCCGATGGACGTGTCTGAGTTTGGTGGTTGCCAGGAGAAGGGTACTTGCCTGACTGCATTGTGCCAAGTGTAAAGTTTGCTGGAGGGTGGATTATGGTGTGGGGTTGTTTTTCAGGGGTTGGGCTTGGCCCCTTAGTTCCAGTGAAGGGAGCTCTTAAAGCATCAGCATACCAAGTCATTTTGGACAATTTCATGCTCACAACTTTGTGGGAACAGTTTGGGGATTGTCCCTTCCTGTTCCAACATGACTGTGCACCAGTGCACAAAGAAAGGTCCATAAAGACATAGATGAGTTTGGGGTGGAGGAACTTGACTGTCCTGACCTCAACCCGACAGAACACCTTTGAGATGAGCGGAGATTGCGAGCCAGGTCTTTTCGGCTGACATCAGTGCCTGACCTCACAAATGCACTTCTGGAAGAAGGCACACTCCTAAACCCTGTGGGCAGCCTTCCCAAAAGAGTTGAAGCTCTTATATTGACCAAATCAATATTGAACCCTACGGACTGGGATGCCATTAAAATTCATCCGCGTGTAAAAGCAGGCGCCTCGATACTTTTGGCAATATAGTGTATTATCGAACCAGACAGAAACGGAAGGATAAGATATTTTTGGATGCTAATCCAACCCACCAAGAGAAAAGGCATGAGCTGATTAGACAATATCAACTGTCGTCATGTGCATCCAAATTATCAGATGGAACGAAATTTGGATCCATTCGTTATCGAAATTTGAATTATCGAACCAATTTGAAAATTGAATTAATTTCTTCATGGTCCTGAACTACTATCACATCATGGGAAGTTAATTGAATGAAAGGAATGCTTTAGTTAATTTCATTATAACATTTTTGTAGGATTTGTTGACATTCGTTTCTATGTCCATTTGGAGATTTGTATAAATCGGAATCTCTGAAAATGAATCATCTGCCGAGGATGCACATGGCGCATCACTGCAATCCAGATTTATGTGAATGGGCACTTTGATTTACATGTAACCGGGTGCTCTACCACTCTCTGTCATCTCCCCCTGCTACTGTTAGTCAGCCAGAGGAGTGAGCTGAGTGCTCCTGTGCCCGCTCTCCTCCTTCCTTTCCACTCCGCCACTGTGAACAGGAACAGAACTGCTGGCTCTGCTGCTGGAGTAGCTCTGTATGTGCTTGATCCCCTGCTTGCCTACCCACTGCTGTCTGTGTGTGGGCAGTTGATTGCCATCTTATGGGTCAGTGCTACCATTTTCCAGTACAGCATTTATAGACAAGTTCCATTGCCTGTTTATGGATTCATGCATTCTTTAACTGTCTTGCCATAATACACCCAGTTAATCTACTATCCAGTTGCTTGCAGCCTACTTTCTATACACACATTCACCCAGTATAAGCTTCAATATAGGTACATTTGTTGTGTTTTTAGAGCAATTCTTTCCAAACAAAAGCTCCTTATATATTTCCCACAAACCTAGCACCTTTTTTTCTAAACTGTCTACACACTTCTGAAAATGTGTGCTTTTTTAAAAGAAAGTTCACCTTTAAAAAAAAAAATACTAATTTTTTGCAGGTAACAAAATGTGCATTTACTATTTTTTTTTTTGTAGGAGTCTGCAAAGTATTGCATCCATGATCAGCAGATCGTGGGTGCAATTCAGGGCTCCTGCAGACTGTCAGTGAAAGCTGTCTGCCCATACCTCATGTTGGCAGGCAGTTACACAATGACAGGAAGGATCAATGAACTACCTAGAAAGCTCAACAAAGCCCTAGTAGTTCATTGAGAACTACAAGCCATCATTCACAAAGGATGTTGGTACTTGTAGTTCATTCATTTACAGAACCCTGATGTAGTCCTGTGGGTGGAGCCCTACACATCCATGGCTCTTTTTGAATTGTGACAGCGGGTGTAGGGAGAAGATTCTAGGCCTACTGTCATGGGGGAAATTAGGGAGAGGCTGCAGGAGCAGGAAAGGCATTCCCAATTTTTCTCCTTTTTTGAGTCTTGGACTGGAGGCATCAGGAGCTGGGGTGTATCCTCAAAGTCTCCTAGCCAGCCAATGACATGCTTGCTTGATATGAATAGAGGACTCCTAAGAGGACCTGGGGGACTCTGAAGTCCTGATTCTAGCACTGAGTGGAGGACATGAATCGGGTGGAGATGTAAACACCAAGAGGCATCCCATATGGTAAGCCTTTTTACCAACATTAGGGTAAAAAAAAAGACATTTATTAGCACTTTAAGATAGGCTGAAAAGCATATTTAATGGGAGTGTTGTATGTGTCTGTTAAACTCATATTTTATTATTATTTAATTATTATTGGCCACATCAACCATTCAAAACAGACTCTGCTTTATTACTAACCACTAGCCTACAGGGCACTTTCACCCCCTTCCTGCCCAGGCCAATTTCCAGCTTTCAGCGCTGTCACTCTTTGAATGACAATTGCGCGGTCATGCAACACTGTACCCATATGAAATTTTTATCATTTTTTTGAGACAGATAGAGCTTTCTTTTGGTGGTATTTAATCACCTCTGGCATTTTTATTTTTTCTTAAACAAACCAAAAACCCCTGAAAATTTTGAAAAAAAAATTTTTTTTTCTTAGTTTTTGTTATACAATTTTGTAAATAAGTGATTTTTCTCCTTCACTGATGTGCGCTAATAAGGCTGCAGTGATGGGCACAGATGGGCTGCACTGATGGGCACTGATAGGTGGCACTGATGGGCACTGATGACGAGGCACTGGTAGGTTGCACTGATGGGCATTGACAGGCATCACTGATGGGCACTGAAAGGCAGCATTGATATATGACACTGATGTATGGCACTGATAGGCGGCACTGATAGGCAGCACTGACTGCCATTGATAGGAGGCACTGACTGGCACTGTTAGGCAGCACTGACTGGCACTGTTAGGCGGCACCGACTGGCACTGATAGGCAGCACTGACTGGCACTGATAGGCGGCACTGATGTGCACTGATAGGCGGCACTGACTGGCACTGATAGGTGGCACTGATTGGCAGCACTGATAGGTGGCACTAATTGGCATTGATAGGTGGCACTGACTGGCACTGACGGTGACATTGAAAGGCAGCTCAGATGGGCACTGATATGTGGCATTGATGTGCACTGGTATGCACTGATATGTGGCATTGATGTGGCACTGATGGGCACTGGCACAGGGCACTGATGAGCACTGACTGCTGGCACTGATGGACACTGACAGGTGGAACTTTTGGGGCCACACTGATCATCAGGGCACACTGATCATCAGTGCCCTGATGATCAGTGTACATGACCCCTCCGTGGAAAGGCGATTACCGGCTCTCCTCTCCTCTCGAGCTGTCAGCGTGACAGCTCCAGAGGAGAGAAATGCCGATAACTGGCATTTTCGTGTTTACATGTGATCAGCTGTGATTGGACACAGCTGATCACATGACCGAGCCGACATCTTCGGCTCTTTCCGTGATCCGCTGTGTCCGAGGGACACAGCGCACCGGCGATCGCCGCACTGTGCGCTCCCTGAGCCGCGCATTCGCGGTGAGAATGGAAGGGCGTCATATGACGTCCTATTAGAACGAGAGAACCACCTTGCGCCCGTCATTGTACTATATGGCGGGCGGAAGGTGGCTAAACATACTGTACATTTAGTAATAAAGGGAGGTGGTGGGGGTTTAAAATGTATATAATTATATATAAATGATTAATTACAAAGGAAAAAAAAAAATAAAAAATAAGCTTTTATTATGGAAATTGGGTTCAATTCTTTTTTTCTTTTTTTGGTTAGTTGACATGGTCAGAACTATTACCATACAGGACCTTGCAGGGTGTCTGACATTAGAAAAGAATCTGATGCAACACCATGACAAATCTTTATCCAACAAGGGCGCTTACCAGCACTGCACTAGGTAGAGAAGATGACTATGAAAAGGATGAGAGTTTTTTTGTGGAAAAAGAAAGATCTTTTTATAAATTGTCACAGCAACACTGCAAAGCATCATTGATTTCAAGCCTTAGGGAACTACTAACCTTGGAGATTTTGGCAGAGATGATGGCAATAAAAAGGCAGAAGATATTTTTTTTTCCTGGGAAAAGTACCAAAGCAATGCATCATGGATTTTCAGCCTTGGAGGGATATCAAACTTTGATACCCAGCAGAAAGACAAGCAAATGATAAAGAATAACATCTTACTTGAATAAAAGATTTTATGTGGTGCCACTAGACAAGGATCAGGAAATCCACCTTTGGAGAATGTTCCGTTAAGTTTTTTTTTTTGCTGTCCCCATTTAGAAGATTTGCTCTCACTTATTGTATTGCCACTGTATTTCAAAATTTGCAGTCAAATTTAGAACCCCAATATATGTTTGTTATGTGTTCCTGTTCACACAGCATGTCTAAAAATAATGTTAAAAAATATTTCTTACCTTTCTTTCTTTCGAGCAGGTTTATACATAGGATTCTATAGGCAGATTGATAATGTTCAGAATAGTTTGCAATATGCAATTAGAGGAAAAGCTGAGGGACTTATTTTTAAATGCATTAACATGCAATGGGGGAGATTTACTAAAACTGGTGCACTAAGAATTTGGTGAAGCTGTGCATGGTAGCCCATCAGCTTCTAATTTCAGCTTGTTCAACTAAGCTTTGACAATAAAACCTGGAAGCTGATTGGTTTCTATGCAGAGCTGCACCAGATTTTGCACTCTCCAGTTTTAGTAAATCTCCTCCTATGTTACATAGTTACATAATTAGTCTGGTTGAAAAAAGACACAAGCCAATCTACACTACTCAAAAAAATTAAAGGAAAACTCATCAGATCTCAATGGGGAAAAATATCATGCTGGATATCTATACTGATATGGACTGGGTAATGTGTTAGGAATGTAAGGATGCCCCATTGTTTGATGGAAATGAAAATGATCAACCTACAGAGGACTGAATTCAAAGACACCCCAAAAATCAAAGTGAAAAAATTAATCAGCAGGCTAGTCCATTTTGCTGATATTTCTTTGCAGCAACTCAAAGCGGTACTCAGTAGTTTGTATGGCCCCCACGTGCTTTGATGCATGCCTGAAAACGTCGGGGTATGCTCCTAATGAGATGACGGATGGTGTCCTGGGGTATTTCCTCCCAGATCCGGACCAGGGCATCACTGAGCTCCTGGACAGTCTGAGGTGCAACCTGGTGGCATCAGATGGACCGAAACATGATATTCCAGAGGTGTTCTATTGGATTTAGGTCAGGCAAGCATGGGCGCCATTCAATGGTATAGATTCCTTCATCCTCCAGGAACTGCCTGCATACTTTCACCACATGAGGCCCGGCATTGTCGTGCACCAGGAGGAACCCAGGACCCAGTGCACCAGTGCAGGGTCTGACAATGGGTCCAAGTATTTCATTCTGATACCTAATGCCAGTCAGGGTGCCATTGTCTAACCTGTAGAAGTCTGTGAGTCCCTCCATGGATATGCCTCCTCTGACCATCACTGACCCACCACCAAAACTGTCAGGCTGAACGATGTTACAGGCAGCATAACATTCTCCATGGATTTTCCAGACCTATTCATGTCTGTCACATGTGCTCAGGGTGAGTCTGCTCTCATCTGTGAAAAAAACAATGTCAGCGGCCTCTACCTGTAAAACCATTCCTGTTTTGGGGGTCGTCTCATTGTTGTCCATCTAGTGCACCTGTTGGTAATTTCATTAACACCAAAGCAGCATAAAATGATTAACAATCCCCTCTGTTACTTAACTGACCAGATCAATATCCCAAGAGTTTCATTGGCTTGATGCTATACTCTAAAAAAGTGTTCCATTAATTTTTCTGAGCAGTGTATTTTGTGCATTTAGGAACGAATCCAGGCCTTTTTTTAAAAACAATCTACTGAGCTGGCCAGAACAAGTTCTTGAGGGAGTTTATGCCACATTTTCACAGCTCTTACTATGAAGAAGCTTTTCAGTATTTGGAGGTTAAATCTCTTTTCTTCCAGGCATAAAGAGTGCCCCCTTGTCATTTGTGATGACTTTAAAGAGAATACATCTACACCATGTTCACAATATGGACTACTTATGTATTTATACATGGTGACCATGCCCCCCATTATTACCTCTTCTCAAGGGAGAATAAATTCAGTTCAGCTATACCTCTTTTAATACAAGAAAGGATTTTGCTTGCTTTAGAAATTGCATGCTACTCTTAAGTCTATGATCTTTCAGAACACCCAGATCCTTCTCAACTGTTGATTCCCCCAGTTGTACTCCTAGAATGTATGATGTAAGCATGTTTTTAGCCCCCAAGGGCATAATTTTACATTTATTAAACCTCATTTGCTGCACAGTTGCTCGATTAAACAGTGCATCGAGTTCTGCTTGTAAGTTGGAGATATCCTGTATCCTGTAAGAACGTTATTCCACTGCATAGTTTGGTGTCATCTGCAAATACTAAAATTGTACATTTAATCCCAAACTCTATATGATTTATTAATATGTTAAAAAGTAAGGGTCCCAACACTGAACCTTGGGGTACACCACAACCCTAACACAACCATAACAACCCTACACTATTGGGAGTATGAATCGTTAACCACTACTCTCTGAATGCTGTCTTTTAGCCAGTTTTCTATCCATTTACAAAATGAATTTTCTAAGCATGTAGACCTTACCTTACACATTAGCCATGTGTGGGGAGCTGTGTGAAATGCTTTTGCAAAATCTAAGTATACTATGGTATATCCACAGCCACTCTTTTGTCTTACGTTTTTGCTTACTTCCTCATTAAAAAAAATTACATTTGTTTAACAAGTTCTTTGTTTCAGAAATCCATGCTGTCATTCACTTTTTTTCTAGCAAAAACTCATCCATGTGGTCTTTTATTAAACTTTCCAGTATCTTTCCAATTATAGAAGTTAAACTAATAGGTCTATAATTACTTGGTAAAGACATCAATCCCTTTTTAAATGCAGGTACCACATTGGCCTTATGACAATTCAGTGTTACTATGCCAGTCATTAAAATGTCCCTATAAATTAGAAATAGTGGCTTAGACATAACAGAGCTCAACTCACTTAGGAAACATGAATGTATGTTATCTGGTCCAGGTGCTTTATTCACCTTTATTCTTTATTATTTATTACCACCCAAACCTTTGTTAAGATAGACAGTGAGCACTTCTAGTTTACAACTGATTATGAGATCTGCCAGCACAGTTCAGATAGGGTTAAACATATATCCCTAGACACCCCTTTAACAATACATACTAGGGGAAAGCTAGGTAGGATTTTTAAGCAAGTAGAAAAGTAAACAGCAGTTTTTTGTTTTTTTTTTAAGTTAAGTTATGTGAATGGGAACATGTAACAAATATAATCTTAATTTGGCTGCACAGGTGAAAGTACACTATATAGTGATGTAAAAGCCTATCTTTTGCTGTTGTCTGCTGAAGTGGAGGGAAACATTTCAATGGGGACACCTATTCTGGTGACAACTGTAAAACGCAAGCATTTCTTTTCTCTTTGGGAAGATTTCTTCTAACTTCTTGTTGTATCTCTGGCATAGTAACCAATGGAAAGAAAACTCCTCTGTGGGAATAGACAGCAATAAAAACCTGACAGAGACTGTAGCACTTCCCCACTCAATTCTAAATAACTAAAACATGTTTGGTTCCAGTTCCACTTTAGGAATATATGCAGCATCACAGGGCTGGGACTAGGGGGGCAGAAGAGGCTGCTGCCCTGGAGCGCCAGCCAGTAACATGTGAGGTGGGAGGGGCACCGGGAGGAGATTTCCTGCCATTATAAGTTGACAGGAGTAGTGACAGCGGCATCACTACTCCTGTCGGCTTAGCGCTGGATGGGAGAAGCCAAAACAAGAGAAAAGGAGGAGAGAGCCGGGATGTGCATTGTGCTCTCTCCCCTCTCCAGTTTCACACTCCTGTCACTGCAACACTTGCATTGGAACTCTCAGATCAGGACTTTACAGTTTGTTAATCCGCCCCATCTCCTCCCAGAATCTGAGTAGGGAGCGGGTAAGCAAAGTCGCTAAAATCCAGATCTGGCATCTAGCAATCTGACGTCCAGATTTTGGCTTTTTCCTAGGATCCTCCACTGTGGTGGCATGATGAGGAGGACCCTAAGAAGAAGAACCTAACACATCCATTTTCCGCACTGTATCTGAGGTCTGTGTGTTTAAGGGAGGGGAGCACTGAGGGCACAATTAAAAGTTTGGGAGGTAGAATTTGTTCTATGAGGGAAAATTTGGGGGCTTACATGGGTAATATTTGTTCTGGGAGGGGAAATTTTGGGGGGGGGGGGGTGCCAGGAGGGGTGATTTGGAATTTTGTTGCCTAGGGGGAAGAGGATTTGCATTAGGAAGGGGGATTTGGGGGGTTGTGCTAGAAGGGGTGTTTTTGATGGGGGGGGATTTGTGCTAGAAGGGGAATTTTTTTGGGGAGGGTGTTTTTGTTAGGAAGGGGGATTTGGGGGAGATTTGTGCTAGTAAGGATGTTTGGGGGGAAGGGTAGTTATGCTAGGAA